CACACACACACACACACACACACACACACACCGGAAATAGGCATCGCGCACAGTGCGCACCTTGCACTGGTAGCGCGTCCCCATGCGCTGCGCGCACGGCGCACCTCGTGCGCGTGCGCGCGCGGTGTCACCGCGCGCATGCCGCACGACGCAGCGCACCGCATCACGCACCGCACTAATGCGCCGCACGTATGATGTATATGCATCTACGTGAAAAATGATTCCTACCGGCGCCTTTTCATTACAAAATCCAGAGTTTTTTTATTTCATTAAAAAATCCAGAGTTCTTTTTTTTTTGAATTCTTTAATCTCTATTTTTAAAAAGGGGCTCCTTCTCACCAAACCAAAAACAGAATCACAGCCGCCGTCCAGTCATTGGTTATGGAACTTACGTCAGCTGGTGACCCAAAAAAAGTGACCAAATTCTGGTCCGATACTCATCCCCAAGGAAAAGGTTAGCTGTATCTAGGCAGCTGCCCTTGTCCTTATTCGTAGATACGGAAAAGCACGGACACGGCAAAAAGAAGTTAAAAAAACGTGATCAAGGAGCCATCAAAGAGGGTGTCTAAAACACAGATCTGACAGAAACTGTCTGATAAGCACTATGCAAAAAACAAATAATTAAAAAGCCGGGATTTCAGGTACCAAAAAGGTGTGATCACGCAGAATCTGCTGATGGCTTTTTAAGCCAGCATTAAAAGTTTTTTTTCAAAAAAAAGGTTTGTTAACGAGCTCCCGGCAGAGGGTACCTGCAGAGATCACAGATTCCCAGTGCCCTCCTGCCACCTTAGCGAACCTCGCTAAGGATCCGAGAGAGAGAGAGAGAGAGAGAGAGAGAGAGAGAGATGTGTGTTGCCACGGGGGCAAGTGAGTTCTTGCCATTCTTGGGGGCCTACTGTAATTACAAGTTTAGCTAGTGCAGTGCCTGTTGTTATTGAATTCAAAAAAAAAACTTACGCGATGATTGTAATATTTGTGTTCAGTCCAGCGCGTTAGCGTCTATAAATTATCAATGTCAAGCTACCATTGGTGTTGTTTCAAATGAGAGCATGGTGGACACCTTGTGCCTGGAGGCTCACAAGAGCGTTTTCCTTCAGCCTGGAAGCCGCCTGTGTCCGGGTGCCCATCTGGCATAGCCATAAAAGATGTCTAAATAGTAAAAAGTTACTAAAAACTGATATGTTTATTATTTTAATCATATTTATTATTTTTGCACTCAAAGGAAAAACTCAACAGTGGGTGTACCCGCCAAATGCTGACGAAATCAGAAGTCTTTTTTTTTTTGTCTTGTTTGAACTTGTGAAGTTATTGATTCATAAGCTAGTAGCTTCCTACTCACGGATGCGTCAATTTTGTAGAAGCTTAGGCACAAATTGGTGGATATGCATCCAATTTCGTCCCGACTTCCCCGCTCCCCCCTCTGTAATTGCGTGTAAGCACTGTAAGGATGTACTCTGTATTTGCACCATTGGCTCTTGTGCATGTCTTACCAAAGTTGCAATGGATTTGCTCATTGGACTGACTCGTGACTCGTGATTCGTGTGGCACTCTTATGACACACACAGGTTCGGCATGCGCTTGCTCAACTGGGTTATTCCAAGATGGATGACATTATTGGCAAGACCCATCTTTTTGCTCCACGTCTTGTCGATTTGGAGAAGTCCAACTCGTTTGACCTCAGCTTTATTCTTACGGTTCGTCTTTTTCTTTTCTTTTTTGAAGTTTTTTCCTTCCTTCCTTCCTTCCTTCCTTCCTTCCTTCCTTCCTTCCTTCCTTTCTTTCTTTCTCCACTTCAAAAGCTGTTTGTTTCGTTCTTTCTTTCTGCAGTTCTCTAGTTGTTGTTGTTGTTGTTGTTGTTGTTGTTGTTGTTGTTGTTGTTTTTAAGCTATCGTATGTTCTACTCTCAATCTCACCTTTCACTGCATACCTGCCACTACTCCTAAGACTATACAGGGGACCCCTGCAAGCATACTCCGATCCAGGTTGTCCCCCGCCCTAATCAGCAGTGGTCAGGGAGTAGAGTGGGGCGGCATCTGTGAAGTTTAAAACTTTCAACGATTTTTGTTTTTTGGTTTCTCGAGGGTCATCATTTTTGTGGTACTCAGGGGCTTTATCCCTACTTGCTAACAAGTGCTCTCCGGGCCATCGCACAATTCGCCCCCACATGTGGTTGATGGATAGACACATAAGCCACACTAGTGTGAGGCACATTCCCATGTTGTGCTTGGCGGGCACCGGTGCTTGTCGTCTGTTCTCTCTCTCTCTCTCTCTCTCTCTCTCTCTCTCTCTCTCTCTCTCTCTCTCTCTCTCTCTCTCTCTCNCTCTCTCTCTCTCTCTCTCTCTCTCTCTCTCTCTCTCTCTCTCTCTCTCTCTCTCTCTCTCTCTCTCTCTATGTTTCTTCCCACGTTGTGCTCCCTACTGGGCCCTATCTTCAGCACAGTCGGCCGCCCTAAGTGAAGGCAGGCTCGACCGAGGCCCACAGGCCATTTTTGGGGTCACCACGCGACTGGGGAAATTCAGGCAGTTGCGCAGCGCCAGTTGGTTGAGAGCGCCCAGGCCCAGGCCGCCTCTTTTCAATGTAACTGAGGCAGGCCGTGGGCCAGATTCGCTACATGGACCGAACACAGGCCGCGGGCAGTTGGATACGGGCAACCACCACAGGCCCAGGGCCTGAATTGTTTGGACTGGGGCTCATCCTTTCTGGGCCTACGGGAAGCTTCTGGGCAGGGGCCCAGCACAGCCAAGCTGCACGCAAGCAGGCAGGCCACTTCCATTTAGGAAAGTGCCTGCCCACACATTCGGCATTTTGGCACTGGCTGCATGCTGCGCACGCGCTGCTGTGCTAACGCTGGCCAGCGCTCACGCGCTCAAGGGCGAGCTGGAAGGAGCAGGCAGCCATAGCCGAGCTGCGCTGCTGTATGCTGGATGGGCCGCATGGTGGTCCGTGCGTGCATGTGGCATCTGTGAGTTGGGGAACGAGGTTGTGAGTGATATGAGAGACACACCTGGTGCTTGAAGCGTACGGCATTGGCCGAGTTCTGTTCGTACTTCGGGGAGCTGTTGACGTCATCAGCGGTATTGTAGATAGGCTAGATTGGATCTGCCATTTGTAGTCTGGGCGCTGAGCGCCAGATAGGATATCGACATTGGTTCTTCGTTGATGATGATGAGACTATTCCAGCATTGTCAATTATGAGCTTTTGATGTGTTCTTATTTGGTGGAACTCGTGATGCAATTCTGCTATTGGTTCGAGGTCACGACTATCTGGTATCATGTGTATGATGCTGTTTGATTTCTGAAGTTCTCTATCGCTCAGTTTCCTTGCACTAGCTTGGGTGAGAGCTTGACTGACATGGAATTAATAATTAGCTGTTAATCAATGAGTGACTTCCATGAATCGATCATTCATGTATGTAATGATGTTGAACCAATTTGTGTGTTACAGCACTGGTACCTCTGCCAGTGTGTTGGGAAATTAGGGAAAACGGGCTTTTCCCGAAGAGTTCGGAGGCCGGGCCCAACGACAGCTGCCATTGATAAATCTTATTGGCCGCCGCTGCTTTGTTTTGGCCTCCCAAAATGTCGGAGGGCCCACCTGAGGCTCGGTGTTTTCCCACTCGGCAAAGGTACTAGTGGTTTAAGGCCCCATCTGTCTGTTCCAGAAGGATGGTTTACGGTTGCATAGAGGATGTTAATGGAGTGCACTTGACCCAGATCTCAGTTACATTCTCAACTGTCTTCTGAAAATTCCTCATAGCCACGATCACATAGGAGAAAAACCTTCTCGCCTCCCCCAGAGAAGAAAAGCTCAATTGACGAGATCAGGGAATTCGGTTGATTAGACAAAAAAAATTGCACATTTCATTAACTTGATGGGAGTTTTTATCATTTTTCTTATTCCTCAATCCAAGAAAGGGCTGACAAAGTGTCACTGTTGTCTGTGGGTTTATCTTGATCACCGGTGCATGGGGGGTTGGTTATCTGCCTATCTGCAGGAAGCTTCAGAAACAGAGTCCACCAGCTCGGAGAGGCGGCGGCAGCCTGTGCACACCAATGGCGATGTCCTAGACGACGAGCTTCTCGCCGATCCTGAGGTATGTACAATGTTCGACACATCCCTACACTGTTTCACATGAGCAATCTGAGGTCCTGACTCCTTCTCCTGTTACTCACTTCCATATGCATGGAATGGACGTCGACAGGGGGTGAGTTGAAGAAAGGGAAAACGAGTCCCGAGTCCCAACTATCACTCCCGTAGATTTTGCAGTTGTGGATCTGGTATTATGAAACGGGTCGGCAACATTCGGTTTATGCTTAAGCTGTACTGCGGTTCAACCTGTGGAATTACTGGAATGTGATTTCCTCAGCTGTGGCACATTGTGCTCTGGTGCGGTGTGGGGTGGGTGGGGTGGGTGGGTTGCAGTTTGGGTGTGGGCTGGGTCTGTGGGCGTGTGGCCCGAACGGCAACTCCGTGGGGTAGCCTATGTGGATGTCCCGGTCAAGTGCGATAGCAAACCCTGAGTATGCTGCGAGTTCCCAGTCACACTAAGCTATTACAATAGACCTGAACCTTTGAAGCACGTCTCTAAGGTCTCTATCTGGTATATGAGAACGGCGTGGAACCTTCGGAGCATCTTAGGTGATATATAGAATGTGAGATCGACTTTGAGTTGTTGGTCGAATTCTTCACGGTGTCTGCTGGGCACAGAGTTGAGTTTCTGTGCTTGATCTCACTCCTTCCTGTTCCTTCTCAGTCGGGTGGAACAGGCAACACCAACAACCTCAACAAAGTCGAGTTTGTATCCAAGATGGCCTAGGGTGCATGGTACCTGTGCGAAGAAAACCGTAGGAGGGCGTAGACTCCATAGAGGTTATCGATTCACGAAGAGACAGATAAGAACTGGGCCTGAACTGCTATATACCAAAAATGCCTACCATGGGTCCGCAGGACTCGACCACGGTACAGACAACTTCTTGCAGTGAGATGTACGCTCAGCAATCATGGCTTCTTCTAGATCAGAGCTGAAGGTTAAGTGCCAAAGAAAAAGGATGCTGAACTAGAATCATGCCCCCAGCTGAAGAAGGCAGCCCTAGTAGCTTTCCTTCTTTTCGGCTATTGGGGGGGGGGGGGGGGG